AGAGCCATCATTATCAGGGTCAGGGTGGCCACTGAACGTCATTCTGCCAGATGCTGTGGTTGTTTGCCTCATTACTTCTGTCCTGCTGCTAGAATTGTCTTGCATAGACTTGGCAAGAGAGATGGTGTGAAACTGTCACCTGTTTTCATTGCTTCTTTACATTGTTAAGTGGACAGAGGGAGGAGGAAAGATCTCTATCGGGTCACATTTACTGGAAGATGAGCGGCTCTTGCGAGACTCTCATATTCCCTGGTGTGTAATAAGCTCCATGTTGCTCCTCATCTTTGTACCTGTCGTCGTGCTCTTCACCTGCTGAAATTGGATCCCACTCTGGAGTTACATGGATGGCCCCTCAGAGGAAAAATCCCCAAAATGCAGACGAGCAGCTTCTCAAATCTACCACTCTCCCTTGAAACAAAAAGTAAAAATGAGTCAATTTAAAGCCACAACCTGCAGGCCATACAACCAGTTATTCTTGTTATTTTGGATCATGCTCTGTTTATCCTGTTCTTTTCCTGGTTTTTCTTCTGTTTGCTTTATTTGTTTGTTTTGTTTTTATTTCCCCTCTCTCTCTTTCTCTCTGTTGTATATCCCTCCCGTCTGACTTTGACCTTTCTGGATTTGGTGTGGTTCTTAACAGAGGAGAAAGCAGTGAGCAAGTAGTTTGCAGCCGTCCTTGCCTCCCAAGGGCAGCACATCGTAAGACACAAGAGGTGACGCAGGTGTAGAGGTAGCCCCGATGAGTTGGACAGCGTTATGGGACATCTTGAGATACCATCAACTATCCAGAGCTTTTATTTTAGAAGGATTAAATGACTTCATTGTTTGTTTGTTTTTTTCCAGAGGAAAGTTGAGTTTGTAGATTAGCATAGTGGGCTCCAACAACATCTTATCTGATTTTCTGATGATTAAAATATCTAAGGAAAGGAGGTGGCCTGAAGATGAGGGGGATGAAGAGACAATTGGTGAATCCTTCTGTCCCGGTTTGAGCATATTCCAGTGTCTTATCAACCTAGCAGAACACACAGTTGCTAGTTAAAAGAAAGTTTACTGAAGGAAAAAAAAAAAAAATCAGTAAAAAGGAAAATTGGCTTCATCCTGCCTCAAACCAGGACACCTTCCCAAATCTGTTAGCCGAGTGGAGGTTCCCAAGCAGGCCTGGTGGCAAGGACACCCCGCTAGACCCCCAGGACGGTGCAGAGCCCAGAGTAGCTAAATTGACGACTCTTTGCTTTAGATGACTGCCTCCATCAGCATCTCTGCCCTTTATTCACAGATCACTCTCTCCCTGTTTCTAGGAGAAAAAAAAAGTGCGTTCGCTACATACAAGGTGAAGGCAGCTGCGTCAGCCCACCCTCTTCAGATGGAAGCTTACTAGACTCTCCTCCGTCCTCCCCCGCCATGCTCGCCTCCCCCTCCAGAGACTCGAAACCACAGACTGAACAAACGCAACCCCTCTCGCTCTCATTGAAGCCCGACCCGCTGGCGCACCTGGTCATGATGCCGCCGCCATCCTCGCTCGTCCTCGCCGAGAGCGCTGCGAGCAAGCCCGGCGCCCTGCCTGCCGCCAGCTGCCCCAACGGGGCCCTGGACCACCCGCCGGCCGCCCTCCCGCCGGCCACACCCCTCGCACAGCCCTCCACCTCCTCCTTGCATTCCCACAGCTCGCTGGCTGGGACACAGCCCCAGCCGCTCTCCCTCGTAACCAAGTCCTTAGAATAGCTTTAGCCTCGTTAGCCCGTTCCGTTCCCTACGGGGGGATTGATTTCTGTTGGGATTTGGGGTTGGGTGTTGGTTGTTTGTTTTGGTTTTTTCCTCTTAATTTTTTTCTTTTCTCCTCCTTCTCTTCCTCCTCGTTGTCCGCTGTTCGTCGTTGTTTCTCGGTTTCGTTTTTAATTTGTGCCACGTGGCTACATTAGTTGATGTTTTATCGAGTTCATTGGTCAATATTTGACCCATTCTTATTTCAATTTCTCCTTTTTAAATATGTAGATGAGAAAAGCCTCATGATTCTGCCAAAATTTTTATCAACAGCTGTTTAAAGTCTTTGTAGCGTTTAAAAAATATATATATATACATAATTGTTATGTAGTTCCAATAGCTTAGTTTTAAAGACTGATTTTAAAAATTTAAAACAAAACAAAACAAAAAAAAGAAGCAATTTTCAAGCAGCCCTTGCCAGAGGCATTGGTTCTTTATTATTTGTATTAAATACGAGCTTGCGAACCAATCATTTTACATCTGGTTTTTAAACCTTTAAGGGCACAACGAACGTGGTGCCGCTACTACTTCTTTTCTGTTTTCTTCCTTGTGTGAAACAACCTTTATTGTGATGTTACTTGTTATTGTTTAAATGTACAGAAACAAAGGGTTAAAAAAAAAAAATGTGTTAATATACCTTGTTCCATGGTGTTGTTCTTTTTGGGGGAGGGAACGCTACTCAACAATTAAAAGTATCACAACGCTATTGGACCAGTAGTATTTATTGCTTTAGAAATTGCTTGTTGTATCTGTATGTTGTCCCTTTTAAAATGTTTTTTTCCTCTTTTTTTTTTTCCTTGAAACATTGTATAAAGGTGTTTTGTTTTTTTTTTCCCTTAGTGTAAGCATCTTATATATAACAACTCATTTGTACAAGGTTTTTAAGTTTATATATAAATGTGTATATATATATTTTTTCCAGGATTTTTGTTTTGATTTCCTTTTTTTTTTTTTTTTTTTTTTTTTTTTGCTATATGAAACACAGTTGCCACCAAACGGGCATTCACAGGTGCATTTTTTCAAGGATCAATAGTATAAAAAAAATAAATAAGAATTGCTTTAAAAGCCATTACACACAAAAAGACTTGAAAATTTAGGAAGGGAATTTTTAGCAACGCTGTTTGAAAAATAGCAAGGTCCAAGTGTCTCCTGTTCAGAACTGCAGCTGAATCCCCTGCGACATTAGGACTGTAGGCTGTGTGCAGAAATTTTTATGTGCCAAAATTCTCAGTGACTTTGAACTTTCTCCCAACAACTTTATTTTTTTTATTACCTTTTTTTTTTTTTTAATGCTGTAATTTTTTTGTTCATCATGTTTTGCTGTGATGTTACATAGGTAGATATGTATGTAGTTTTAATGTCACCTATAACAGACGTGTTTGGTAGCAGATTGTCCGGAAAGCATTTAAAATGAAGAGGTATAAACCCTTAAGGGCCAAATTCTGTATATTAGATTATTCATAAAAGGAAAATCAGACTGCCACTTCTATGTACACTTACTACATACAGGTAGGTAGCAAACTTAAAACATAAAAAAAAAAAAACCTAGGCATGTTGATGTTGCAAAAAACGCTGTATAAAGCTGAAAAATTGTTCATCTGTTCATTCAGTGCCATTGTAGTTGACATGAAGCGATTGTAAAACTGTCTCAGATTTTTCTCTGGTTTATTAAGATGCTAACTATAACATTTTTTGTGAATACTTTGAATGTTTCCTAACAGTTGTGATGTTACTGTTCCGTTTTATGCTCTTATTCCGATTTTCATTTTTAATGGTTTGGAAGCCATTTTTTGTAATGAATAAATGTTCATGCTGTACAGTATCTGTAGCATGCAGTTCTGGATTAATAAAAGCAACTTAGTATGTGCAGAGAATGACTTGTCAACTCATTTATGCGTTGACTGCATTTTACTCTGGCCATAAACATGTACATCCCAAGTGGAGAACTTCCTCAGAATTTTTTTGGTGAAAATCCTGGCAATCCAGCTCTGGTTGTGAGAAATCCTCTGGTTCCTTTGGGTTCCCATGCTGCCGCCTGCTAAATCCATTTTGCAGTGGTCCTCTTCCTGTACAGCCAGCTTCTGTGTGAATAGCAGTGGTTGAAAATCCCTTTTCTTTAAAGCAAATGGCATGTGATTTGGTAAAAGACAAATAGCACATGAGCTAAGATAATGTTGTGCCTCTGTGTGAAGTGATCCTGGGGGAACAGGGCTGATGATACCTTTAATTTTAATTTTTTTTGTTCCACCTGGTGATCCCACAACCCAGGGCTGATGCAGTAGAGAGGTCAGGTAGCTCAAATTAGTCAGAGTCCTTGTGTTGGCAATAGGGTTTATCTCCTGGATAGACCTGAGCTGGTTTTTGCAAATTTATCTTTTTTTAAATGCAACAGTCCCTTGCAGCCCAGCCTGTTCTCAGTGCTGAGCGCCCAGCAAACGCAGCAGTGCCCACAGATGCTGCAGGATGGGAGTGAATGGAAATGCAGGAATTACTATTAAATGGTTTATTTGTTTGGGTTTGCTTGTTTCAATTTTTTTCTTAACTGAGTAGGGATTTAAGCTTCATAATTTTTAGGAATCTCTGAAGTGGATGCCACCGTAGACCCAGTCATCTTGGGAAATCTCAGCCATAGTAATTTCTACAATGGCACTCGAGGGCAGCTGAATGCCAAGGTCTTGGAGCAGGCTTGTTCTCTGCCATCATGCCAGTCTATTGCCCAGGTAATGCACGGCTCTTCGGTCAGCTTGCAGGAAAGCTAAGTGTTCTTCCTCATGTGGGAAAGCAGGTGAAGTGATTTGCTGCAGAGACCTGGAAGCGGGGCCATTCTGGGACGCCCAGCCCCTGTACCAAGACTGTGCTGTCCCTCACTGTGTGGTCCTGTAAAACCAACACAGGCTGCAAGTGGTCGTCTGTTGGCTGCAGAAAAAAATTGCTTTGTAGAGGGGCTGGGAGGTACTGGGTGAAGTAGTAAATAAAACTTAAACAGAATTCATAATACTTAAACTTGCTTTTTTTTGGTTTTGTTTTTCACCAACTAGTTTCCGTGCCAGAAGCCTTTTTTTGTTTCAAACCTGTTCATAAAGGGTAATATACGTGATAATTGCTTCATATTTCCTGTTAGAAGGATTAAGTGATTTAGCTCCCTTGATTCAAGGCCTGTTGCTGTTGTGGTTTGCCATGACACTGCCCTAGACAAGTGGAACACGTCCCCTCATCACCCATGACAGGCATGTGGGCAGTGAGGATGGGATGGGACTCTGTAATGGGGAAGAGGATGTTGCTATGAAGCCTTTGTGGAAGGTGCCAAATCTTGCTGTTGTTAGCAAGCCAGCAAATTGAACACCATGCTCAAATTACTCTCTGGCTATTTAAAGTTTCTAGGGAATTTATATTTTTGTCTTTCTCCTAAACGTTCTGACTCTTGCTAGAGCATGGCCATCCATCAGCCAGACACATGTGCTGCATCTCTGCTGGGGATAACTGCTCTTCTCTAATGTAGAACATAGTGCTCCATGGAGATCTTTGAATGCCATGACTCAAAGGAGACGCCATCAAGGTATGATTCATATATTCAGCAAAATACTATGTTCTTTGCTTGCTGCTTTATTAGCAAGCCCTTGGAAAGCAGAGTCCAAAAACATTGTTACTAGGCAAATTGGGTTTCCTTCTGTGTACGTGGTGGGAGAGGCACATGTTCAAAAGCTAGGTTGAGCAGAGCTCACAAGTGGTGGATAACTGGTGGGGGAACTTGTTGTTTGCTGTAGAAAGCAATTACATATTTCTGGGAAAGAACCACTTGGGTTTCCTGTTTGTTGTGCATTGACTGTGCCCCTTGAAGGGCTTATGCCTTAAGATTTGCCTCCAAATTTCCTTTGCTCAAAGGGTCTGAGCTAGTTGAAGGCTCCTGGGAGAAAATTGCCATTATTTATATGTACTCCCTTTATACCCAGGAGTTGCAGCCAAGGACCCCATTGGATCAGGTACACTGGAAACATGGTGGAAAGTCAGCTCTTTGCAGATACTGCAGATGTAAAATGGGGTTGGCAGGTGGCTACAGGGGTATGGCCTGATCACCCCATTCACCCCCAGACCCACCAGGTGAGGGAACCTACAGGGGCAAGCTGGCACACTGTCCTTGTGCAAGGCTGCCATGGGACAGCATGAGGCCCTGCCTACAGTGAGTGATTCGCTGCAGCTGTTGCTTCCATCTGTTTTTATGGGATAAGGCAAGGAAGCAAGTCAATGTATTGCATGTTCAGGAGACATTTATTTTCCATTAGTTTTGTAAATCTCATTTTTCACTTAGTGCCTGGAATTTTAAAAAAGTTTAAGCAATTGCTGACTCAATAAAGCGGTGCCACATGGTTTTAAGCTCTGCTTAAAGAGAAAAAAGAAGGAAAAGGCAGGAAAAATAGCAATCTTTAGAGTCCTGTTCATTTCATTAGAGCATAAAAAGACATAGAGAGAATTCACAGTAAAATAGTTGCATGGCCCATTGCAACAATCATAAAAGCAAACAATAATAATAAAAATGAACATGTGTGACAGTGCTACCCAGCTATGTCTGGCATACACATAGGAATGCTTTACCTCCTAAGACTCTTGGAAAAGATTTTGGATACTGTTTTGCTGAAGCTGTAGATTGAATTTCAGAGCAGGAGCAGTGGTCTATATTGGACAGGAAGGCTAATAAAGCTCTTGGGCCCTTAAAACTATGAATATGCAAATATGCTCAGAGATGGTAGCAATTGCTCTATCATGAAAAGCGGTAGACAGGTACTTTGGCATTCATTTTAAGATGTTCTTGGAAAACACCCTGAGACTTTTAAGGCAGGTCAGCTACAACTGAAAGTATCCCAATGGCCTATCATTGTCAATAATGTCATCAGCCCATTTTAAGGACTTTCTGAGGACAGGTGTCTGCCAACACCCAGACTGATTTTCTTCAAGGATCAATCCAAAATATTCACTAATGATGTACATCCCTGTTCTATGAGGTCCCTGTTCTTGAAGTTGGAAATACACTTTATTTGGGGTGGGTGTTAGCCTGGACCTCTAAGGCAGTAGTGATCATGAAGTCATGCTGTCTGTCCATCTGTTCGACCCTCTCCTGATAACTCTTGAATCCTCTGGCATTTTGAACTAGATTTGACAGCAGCAGTCAAACTCTTGGAGATGATAAAGTCCCTGTGAGTTCCAGGGAAATCTCTGCCGGCACTGAGAAGAGAGGCTTTCCAGATCTGCTGCTGAAGAAAAAGCAGGGAGAGCTCAGCTGTTATCCATTCTCTCTGGCAGTGTCCAGATGGCCAATTATCACACGTCTACTTCTGGACCAACATCTGCTCTCT